GATAGATAGGCCACCTTTTTTGTTTGTATCTTATTTTCGCGGCAAAAGGTGCTTTTAGGCGTCGTTTGAGGTGTAGGGAACTTTTTAAAGGTCATTCCGTCCTCCAGGTAGGCCATGGCCAGAACGCGAGACGGCAAATGCGCCGGTGAAAATCCGGGTGTATCCTATGCCCTAGTCAGCCCTAGTCCCTTACGAAGGAGCACTGGGAACGAAATCAGGTAACAAAGGGAGCGAATCGGGAGAGAACTCGTCGCGGATGAGGACATGCCGGGGGAGACAAACGAGTGAAAATCGGGGATAAAGACGGGTAATACGGGGGAAATATATCGTGTGACTCGGATGAGGGAGCCATTGTTGGAATGCTGAGGGAACGCTTCAAGTACTGCGGCTCAGGTGATTCGGCCGTGGGATAGAACGCTAGTACTGACGCAGGACGACATGTTGTGACTGGCGTCGTGATTCCATGCGGAATAAAGAACGGCCAATCATGTTTGTGGGGACTCCGCCATGAACGCCTTCGCGCCAGCCTACTAGAGTAGTCGCCATGGACATGCCGCCGAGCCAGGTAGATGCCATGGAGCGCCATCGCGGGAAGGAACCGCTGAAGCTACACCAGGTTCATCGATGGCGGCGACGTCGGAAAGGGTATCGGGGGAACGAAACTTCGACCGAGCGCTGCGACGCCTGAGCCCAAACAGTGAACGCGCGTAAGGACAGCTAACTTTCGACGCAGTGTACAGTCTACTGGTTGCCCAGGAATGTAGAGCTTCCCTCAATGGTAGCGCTAAGCTGCCGCTGAGCTGGGATGACTACCGTAGGCCTTTGTTGCTTTTTGGAAGACAATGGATTGGATCCCTGCGGGTGGTGGCGGGCCTACTGCAAAGCAGTGTGGAGCCAGTCACCTATCTTCCTCGTCTGTGAGGTGTTTGCCTGGTGATATCTCACGCTCAGCCCTGGCAGCATTCTGGTCGCTTTGGCTCCCAGAAAGGGGGTGTTTATCGCCACCATTTCGGCGGAGCTAAGGCAGAGTACTTTGGACCCAGCCCGAAACTAAGGGATGGTGTAACGTAGCTTAGCAGGAACTTGTGCAGCCCGGCCGGGAAGGTAGGAAACCAAGGAGCGCGAAGCACGAACCGGGGAATTTCGGGGTACTGCGAACTACACCTGCTGTTGGAAGGCGCTCACCGGGGAACTGCTCGGTAGAGTGAGGAGCTTGCGGGAATTCTTTTGACCTTGCTGTTGCATGTGAGAATTAATTTGTTGCACGTTTCTACTTTAAAGGTGGAATAACTCTTGGCCCGCGAACGCGGATGTTTGGCTCAAGTCAAGCACAGCGCAAAAAAGGTGCCAGACTTTCTGGATTGTAGGAGTAGTGCCCATAGCGTCAGTATTTGTCCTTAGGATCGGGGAACTCTAGTGGGTAACCTGCAATCTCTTTTTCAGTTTTGTTCGCGCAACGGGGGAATCCTTGCATCGGGGGATTTCACCCTACATATCTGGAACCGGTGACAACAAAAGACGGGACCTGCCACGTGTGCTACCTGATAAGAGGGAACTCGGTGGGGCATACGGGGTATGCGTCTCGCTCCTAAGCATCCCAGTGCTTGCGCCCCTTACCCATCCTCAATCTCTTGGCCAGGGATTGGGAGGCAGGCCAGGTACCGGCTAGGTGTCCGATTGGTGGCGTTACCACTGTCTTGCAACTTCACACCGACCCCTCGCCCTGGGCTAGTGGTGCGGACCCCGCATCGGCTCTGGGATTCTCGGGTTTCTTGGGTTCTTCCCGGGATCCCGAAGCCTCTGCACAGAAATGAACTGTTGCTATTTTGGTGGGGCTCAACTTGCTTGTCCTTTTCTGTCTTCTATTGAAGGCACCCTGTCTGGAACGAGCAGTGGTAAGAGATGAAACATTCAGAGCGCTCTGCCCCGCTACTGCACCCGTCTACTCCGCCCGTCTACTCCGCCCTGGATCCACGAGCCTCTGAACAGGGCTACGTGCGCTTTTCTTCAAACAAGGAAGCCAAGGAGTGCCTCGAGGTGGGGTGGAGAACTTGTTTGGGCAGTCAGAGTAGCAATTAGTAATGGAAGCCTGACATGGGCATGAGATGTGCTATCTTTTCTTTTGCACGAGCACCTGGATGTCCTTGCTGCCAGAAAGGGTCTTAGCTCAACCAACAAGTTCGGTGTAGTCCCTGTACCTCGCACCTTCATGTGCTCATGACACTTTGCAAGTACAAGTATGAGCTGAATCACGTGTGGAAAGGCCAACTCGACACCAGCGGATGCCGAAGAAGGGGATGTCATTGGAACTTGGCTTGCGACTCATTAGAGTCGCTCCATCAAGCCCCGAGTGCCGCCTAGTTGTAACTTTTTTGATATGTGAGGATCCCCAAACGGTCGAGACTGACATCGGATGGTAAGAAATGGGGTTTCTCAGCCAAGGTCGCAGAGCGAGAGGCTGCTGCAGGGAGCGGCCAGCGTCTACGGCCCACCCCACAGTTGCGGTCTTTCTCGAAGAAACATCGAGAAGCCAATCCTTATGCTGCCAGCTTCTATCTCAAAGATACCCTTAGTTCGAGGAGCTCCCACGCTTTGGAACAATAACGGCCCAAAGGCTGGGAAAAAGTGGCAGCTGCAGTTATATACACCCGCAGGGTCGTGTTAAACTGCAGAAATTCCCTGCAGGCATCAACCACGGGATATCCCAGCACCCAGCCGCAGGGTATCCTCGCAGAGTATCCTTGCAATGCCCAAACGCAGAGTATCCCTACAATGTGCAAACGTAGAATATCCCTGCACAGCCCTTTATGCAGAGTATTCCCGCAGGAAAAACTTGGCATTGCCCAATCCCAGAATATGCGGCGCCCAACGCCAAAGTCTCCCTGCGGGCCGTGCCCAACCGCAAACTATCCCTGCACCGCCCAACCCCTTCAGAGTATCCCTACTGTTCCGCTCCCAAAAAAACTTGCTGTGCCCATTCCCAGAAAAGACAGAGTGGGGATAGCCGAAGTAGATAGTTTACCTTTGTGGCTTTGTCTGCATGTGTATCGTCTGTCTGACGACGCCATGAAAACAGCTGGAGAGCCGCACAGGCTTGGACCTCTTGAAGGACGTGAACCAGAACTTCTTGCAGTCGGTTGCGAACTCCGCCAAGGCCTTGCAGGTGAACGAAATGTAGAATTCTGTGAGGAATGTTTGAGACAAGGGGTAGCTGTACTGCCAAAACGGTAATATTCTCTGTAATTCTAGGAGTTCCCACTTTGTTTTCCATTATCCCGGTATACCCAATATATACCGTACCCTATTATACTTTAGTAGTTTCCAGATGCCGCTAGGAACTTCCTTCAGGTGAAGAATGTCTGGCTGCTTGCGGAAGGCAGGGCTGTGGGCCCAGAGCCACCTAAGCCGCAGGCCGGAGTGAGAGCTGCTGAGAGCCCAACAAGTAGCTAAACCAAGGTACCGCCACAACAACCACAACAAGCGCAACAAGCGCAACAAAAAACATGATTCAGATGATTCATATTATTATTACTATTGCTACTACTAGGAGGAGGACTGCGTAGCATTCTTGGTGACGCTTGTGAAGTCTGGTCCAGGCGAAGCAGCTTCACTTTGCCAGCGACTGCTCCGAGGCAGAGCTGCCGCAGCTCCGGGAGCAATTGCAGAAGGCCTGGATGCGAAGATTTCCCAAAACATTTTTGACAGAGAACTCTTTCAGTTCAGCCGCAGGCCTTGGCACAGCTCGAGGCGGCGGCCCGGGCAGCCAAGGCATCCAAGCAAAAGGAGCCAAAGGCCAGGCTCCGTGGGTCCTGGGTGCCCCAAACGGGGTGGGTTTTCTTCTCTGCTTTCAGCGGGGCATGCGTGGAGGAAGATTCAAAATCTCAGAACGGAAAGCTCCAACATGCATGAGCCCCCTGGCCCATGAGCCTTGCGTACTTTCACGAGGCCAGGGAGGCCAAGGAGACCAAGGAAGCAACACCAGGCTCGGAAATTTGAACGGTTTTTATCGAGTCTCTCCAGCTGCACACTGGAAAGCATGGTGTTCGTGGACCTTGTGTGTGCAACGTGCTGCAAAGAGACTTAATCAGATGCAAGAAGCAGAGAACAGGCAAGGAAGACCCGCGTGGAGCCGAGAAGGCCTCCCAAGCTCCTCCAGGCGAGCAGCATAAACAGCATGAATTTTGTGTTAAGTGGAAAGGCCTGCGTGAAAAATACCGCGGCTGTTACTGTGCAATTGTGATCTTAATAGGGGATTCATGCGGAAAGACTTGCGCATTGTGGCGTGTTCCAACCCCCTGAATCACTGTGAGGCAGGGCTCAAGCTGCAGGAAGCGCTCAGGCAGGGCATGGGGCTAAGCTTTGCGCAAAGACCAGTTTGGCAAGCCCACCAAGTTCTACTGTGCGAAGAAACACTCTCGCTCTTCTCTTTTCGCTCCGGGCCTGGAGGGTTTGGTCCTCAAACGATGTCTCAGGCTGTGGCAGTGGTGTAGAGACATGGAGACTTCAGCTCATTTAATTGACAGGGCAGACAAATCATCAAGAGGGTGTTAGCGCCATACAACCTACAGCAATCATTACATGACCCTAGCTGAATACCTGAAATTTTGAGAAGCGTGGCGCTTCGTACGAGGGCCATGCCGGGTTTGTAGTATTAGTGCCTTTGCGACCGTAATTATTCCTATCATTCCATTCCGATTAGCACTTCATGAGCTCTTCCCAACTGGTATATTGTACGCGGGTTACGCAAAATCTATAAGTTGAAGATAAAGGGTAATGATTTCTTTAGCTATGTGCAGCTTGGAGTGCAGGAATTGTGGATTGAGGACTTGAACCAGCTCTGCGAACATGCAGGAGCCTCCACCTGGAACATGGCAGCCTGCTCCGGGATACGGCTGGCAACGACCACCTGTGTCTTGGCAGTTGAGAGTTTTTGAGAGGTGATGGCATCTCACCTTGCTCAAATTGCTCAAAAGCTGAAAATCGCTGAGGGGTGGGGGTGGTCAGCCTCTCAGTGGCCAACGGCACCAACGGCACCAACAGCATCTGCATCTGCAGTTACAGGGCGGTTGCCTCAGCTCCTTGGTTTCAGCGTTTGGGCACTGCACCATGGAGAGGTCTGCATGGGGATATCCTACCTATCCCCAAGGCTCAAGCAATTTCAGCTCATGGATACTGAAGTGCACCCAGATTTTGTGCGCAGGCAAGGGGGCAGCCGCGACGGCCTCAGCGGCCTCGACGGGAGCGACCGAAAACACGAAGGAGAAAGAGAAGGAGAAGCCAGGCCTTGAGATAAAGTCATCGGAGTGGGCGCCGGGCAAGATTTTGCAGGTGAGGATGACATGAAGGAGAAAGCTGCCCGAGTGGACGAGGGCGAGGCCGAGCCTGAGCTGCATGTCGCTGCATGTCGCTGCATGTCGCTGCATGTCTCAGATGTGTCATCAATGGGTCACGAAAAGATCTTGCGTGGAAAATACACACAGCCTTTCTGCATGGCTCCTGGGTTTTCGGCTCAGAGTATCCGAGCAGGCTTAGTGCCAGCTCTTCTCTCGCCCTTCGTTGAATCTTCCGGCTTTTGCCGCCTGCGAAACATGTCGCAGGAACACACTGAGTACATTCAAAGCACCTTGGTGCAGTTTCGCAAGGTCGACGTGCGTGCACTTAGGGAGGGCAGTGCATCTTTGTAGTTGTAAGTCGGGGTGCGAGTTGCATGATTGAAGCTCGTTCTGCCCCTGACGCCTCAGCATCTACCAAGGTAAAGTGAATCCCATCCTTGAGAGCCTTGTGACGGAGGTCCTGCTGGAGCGTCCAGACAACCCCGAAGCTAAGCTGGAACAACACGACTATGCCGGTGACTGAATTGAAGGTACAAAAAGCAAAGGCATCTCACAGCCAAGGTGCCATTCATGGTCCGATGGCTCGCTGACGCCCAGATGCAGGTTAGCTCAGGTGTTCCTTCGAGATTTCCCACTCTCTCGTCAGTCATCGAAAGAGAAGAGGTAACTACCATCTGGTGCAACCAGTGGTATTCAGACATGTTGTGCCCAGCGTACCCACGTTCAAGTCGCACACCTTGCCAAGGAGCGCTCGAAAGCCGGCAAGGAGTCGTGCTGGGATAGCTTTTGGTCCCTTGGTGGGCTCCCTATAACAAGGGTGATAGTTTTCCGTCTATAAAAGGCGGCCCCGAATTTTGGCAATGACCGCACGACAGCTAGCACTTTGGTAAAGTCCGGGCAAGGACTCGCTGTACTCTCTTGGAGTTGGCGAAGCGGAGCGACTGCGCAATGAGATCCGTGAGCTTCAGGCACAGGGCTTTCACATGCTTTGGTTGCATGCCTTAGGACCTGATACGATTTGGCACGGTGTCAGGACGAAATCAAAGCTCTGTCAGACAAAGTCGGCGATGCCAAAGCCAAAGGTGAAGAGAAGAAGGAGGCAGCGCCTTGTCTCTGTCCGATCTCACTTGCGCCTGTAGCGCAGCCCAGGAGGGAAAGAAGGAAGAGCTTCAAGGAGAGGCGGCTGCAGAGGCGCCCCAGGACTCTCCCGGAGAGAAGCCAACGGAGAAGCCAGCGGAGAAAGAGGAGGGAGCCTCCGGTGGAGCTAAGAAGGAAGAGGAGGAAGCCGAAGAGGCGGAAGAGGCGGGACCAGGAAAAGGAAAGAAGGACGACGACGAAAGCGAAGAGGAGGTGGTGCTTTAGTGCTTTCTTCTATCTGATTGGTGCACAGCACTTCATTCGGGGATGCTTTCGAGTAAGACTAGATCAGAACCACCACTATGCAGCCGTGTAAGAGGGCAGCCATCTGGAGAGCAAAGTGTAGGGGCTCCAATTCCCAGGACGACTTCGGAGATGATGACGAGGACGATGTGGACGATGACTGGAAGCCGCCAACCGCGTACATGAAGAAGGGACAGCGAGGTGAGAGGGCCTGAAAGCCTGAAAGGTAGGCTCAACATGCGATGACTGTCATACATGAATTATGAGAAGGAGGGCCTCCGGAGCCCTAGAGACTCCCTGAAGCCTCACCAGTGGTTTCAGAGCCTGTTGCAGACTACGCGCAGGCTCTGTGTCTGCGGAAGCATATGGTGCCTTCAACCAGAAGCAGGCCTTCGAGCCGCCAGTGCTGCGCTGAGAATTCGGGCGTTTAACTGGGGTCTGGTTTGGCTCAGCTTTCTGGAAACTCTGCAACTTACTGGCTCCTGTGACGCACTGGACTGCTAGTCTGAAAATCCTCAGGTCTATGAGAAGAGCTCCGAACAGGCTGCGCTGAGAATTCGGGCGTTTAACGGGGGTCTGGTTTGGCTCAGCTTTCTGGAAACTCTACAACTTGCTGGCTCCTGTGACGCACTGGACTGCTAGTCTGCTAATCCTGAGGTCGTCTGGTCCCTTGGTTCGGCTCTGTGATTATGCCTCCGTTTACCTCTTGTTTTAACTGATTATGCAACAGGGATGTGCCGCGATCTTGATTTGAAAGATTTGGGGTCAAACGTTGTTGCGTGTGAGAGGGAGGGCAGCCGCGTTCTTTCCAGGAGATGTTGGCGCTTGACGTTCTTACTGTTGAGTCATTGCCTCGTGGTTGTGGGTTTTCGGCTTTGGATTTTGGATGCAGATGCATGAGATTCTTAGATATGTGAAATGAGGAGGTTCCGTCGGGCTTCTGAAGGTGTCGCTAGCCTGCAACCAGCTTAAGCTGAGGTTTGGCTTTTCTTGTAGGCTCCTCTTCCAGCGTTGCTTAGTTCCTCATCTTTGAATTTGGGACCTTGATGGCTTGAAAGGTGTCAGGGGCTTCTGGGAACGCCCTCATGCGAAAGGATTTTTGCGGCACCACGGAGCTGGTGAAAGAGAAAAAAATGGCCACCGTCGGGGATGTCAGCCGCACTGGTTTGGGTCAGCGGTCAGCGGGTTGGCGCGCTCACGTTTCATGCACGGTCGCCACCCTGCCGCCCATGCTCCGCTCGACACCTTTGAAGAAATGACCTTCGCGTGCATTTTGCATGCCCAGAGCCTGCTCCTGCGCTCCTGCATCCTGCTTCGAAGCTTTCGTCCCCCCCTGGGTGCAAGTTGTACTGCAGCTGCACAGCAACCAACCTTGCGGGTGGGAGGTTGATTTGAGGCCAGTCAGCATCTGGCTGCCACATGAGACGACCGAGCATTCGCCGAGCTTGCCACAATCCTGGGCAACTTCTGCAGTTTTTGGGCATTAGGAGGACTAGCTTCCTCATGCTGGAGAAATTGCACAAGCACATGCCTCCTGCAGCTTTCGCCAAGAGACTCCCAAAAATTGAGTTCTAGTTGAAGGAGATGCCAGGGGTGGTCACCCTTGGAGATGGGATGAGCTACGTGTGGGTGTTCAGACACCAACGATTCCCTGACATTGTTGTGGCGATTGGGCAGCACGGAGCGGCATAGGGGATCCTTTGAATTTCGAAGCCGCCCTCGGGCGTTTCCGCTCCTCACTGGGTACTTAGTCACGTCTTTCCCCTACCGTGCCCCTTGCGTGGCTCACCTTCACACCTCACCTCTTGACTGGAATCACATGGAACATCCCGTCCAAAGCGCTCTCACGTAGGGCATCCTTGATGTTCGTGCGGCTTGCAACTCAACCTTGTAAGTTAAGTTTGAGCCAAACCAAAGGTAAGAACATTGGAATCTTACCAGAATCGCTCCGCTTACACAAGCCGTGGGGTAGTTTTCAGCAGCTCTTGGCCTCAGACGGGTTTGCTTGAACTTTCCGGTACTGCCAACCCAAAGTTGGCGACCATGCTTTCAAAAAAGCCAGGAAGAGCGTATCAACGCCGTTCTGTCGAAGAGCTTCCTGTTCAATGCTCTGAGCAAGGCGCGGTTATCCCCATCCTTAGGACTCCAGGAATGCACATAATGCACTGTGAATACGTTGGGGTGCACAAATTAAAGGGGAACACCTCATTTTGAAGAGCATTCCAGGAAGTAGGATATTCACTGCCGCGCAGGACGACCTGAAGGTCATCCTAGGGGCCTTCTTGGAAAAGAAGATCCCGGCTGGCGAGCGCATTATTCAGGCGGCTGCATCTATGCTTAAGAGCCGCTACAGTAGTAACAGTAATACTGATGAAGCATTATCACGTTCTTGTGATTTTCATGGTGAAGTCCACATCAACGTTTCAGACACGCGATATCTGCAGGAGGGGGATGATGGAGACGTCATGTTCCTCATTGAGTCAGGGGCCTTTGACTGCATCAAGCCCCTTGGCTTCCCTAGCAATGCAGGCGGAACTGCGTGTACGATGCAGCTTGACGAGAGCATTTGCAAGCCAAGGAAGATTGACGGATCTGACAAGGCCTTGTTCCGTGCCGTGCTTGTAAGGTGTATTATGGTGTATTCTGCTGCCTGTCAAACATGCCTGGCAGGTGGTGAAGAAGCCTGGAGCTTAGGCTTGCCGTGAGCTGCATGTTGGCATGTGCCCGAGCACAGGTGCGGTCAGGGAGACGTTTTTGGTGAGCTTGCCTTGCCATCCAGCCCTGCATTGGAGGAAGTTCAGCAGTCGAAGAGACTCTGCTCAAACATCTCTGCCAGGCTTTACAATTGCCCTCGTGCTGCATCAGTGGAAGCCACTGAAGAAGCTGTTGTTGCTTGGCAGCATGTGGAGCTTTGCCGTCAGCGTGGCTCCTTTTGGCTGACTCTTCTGCGCCAGGTGTGGCAGCTTGATCGTGAGACTTTCAGCAGAGTCCTCAGCCATCCTGATGAAGGGGCAGAAGGTCATAATGGCCTGGGCCCTGCTAAGGCCACATTGTTCGAGATGCGTCTGCAAAGCGACGTGACAACTTCATGGTCTCTTGCTCAGTTGGTTTCAGGTTAAAGCAATCACAACTCGTCAGATGTGAGGACTTTCTGAAAACTGTGCCCCTCTTCAAGCCGCTGGAGAGCTATGACCTCATGCAGCTGGCTGACTGCCTTCAGCAGCAGCAGCTTGGTCAAACCGGCTCAGGCAAGGCAGCACTACGCAAGAACCCTCAGAAAGCTGTTGGGGCTAGTTCTGATGCTGGTGCTTATGCTGGTGCTGGTGCTGGTG